GGCTCACTGAAAAGTGTCCTCTTACTTGGGTAGGTAGTGTTTGCATCGGTAGGTTTTACAATAGTTTGAGATCTTACTCTTTTGTTGTGTGATCGATTCGCTAGTCACGATCCTATTTCTTAAAAATAAGAATGATGTCCCGGAGTAATCGAAAAGGATCCCAGTCTTAGGTCAACATTTATTCTGAACTAGTTACAGACAAATGTAGACCCATTTTACAAACTAAGGGTGACTGGGCAGCTGGTCTCTTCATGCTCTAGAATGGAAACCCTGGCGCTTGTGCCGAATGAAGAACATAGATAGTAATGGTAGAAAGGTCCCGTGTTCATCCCCTTGGGTGGGGCGCTTTGTGCATAGAAGATCAGGGAAACATGTAAAAGAATTAAATGTCGATCGACTTAGCAGAAATAAAAGATGCTGTTTAACTGGATTCAACTGAAGTGATGCAAGAAAGGTAGTAAGATTGCATTCATTTTCAGAACTCTTGAACATTGCATTTTATTTTCCAACACAAACGATTCAAACACTTTCGTAGTGGCATGGTCCCAACCTTCTAACTTATCTGTAGGGCAATCTGTAAGAATATAAAAGACATTGCAAATGTCTGAGTGGCCCTGGGAGATGGTAGTTTCATCGTTTTTCAATGTGCCATTGTCAACACATGGGCAGATGAACAGTGGAACGCAGAAGGGCCAATGGGAATTTGGTTTTCAATGATGACTGTTAACTGATCCACACACGTTCTCAGCTACTGCACCAGGAGATGTCGTTTATTAGCTCTCTCAAGAAAGAATCGCTAATTGGAAGATCTTGTTCTTGAAATTTGGTAATTGATTCGTTATTCACGAATCAGTGAATTAAAAAAGAAGATGAAAGAAAGAAAACATGCCCAGCATAGACCAGTAATGACTGTCATAGAATACTCGGACATGACTTTCGATAGGAACCATGTGCAGGTCCACAGGAAGCAAAGCTGATAGTCCGGCTCTTATCCTTCTGGTAAGCAGGCTGTGACCAATTGTTTGGATGCCAGTCTTCTCAGTGTGGTTGTGATTAGTTGTTCTCTGACAGTTTTAGCAAGGAAATGGACACACATTAAATATAGTCCAAGAAATAACCACATAATTGAAAGCCAAGGGGAGACCAACGATAAGAATGTCTTATATGATAGCTTTTACAATTGATCTGATTTTCCTTTCTGATTTCTATTAAAATAGTGCAAAAAGACATTAGTCCATTATTTCTTTGGGCAGTAACATACTGACAAATAGAAATACTGGTTAGTTCTCGTGCAGTTCCTGTGAGATCTCTAATACTGATGTCTTTCTGTAAGAGAAAGAATACATAATATATCTCAATTGAATTTTTAAAAGTCAGTAGGCTATGGGCCACTTAGGTGCATATATTATGATACAAGGTTACGGATGCATCTTGTTTACCCCTAAAGATATCTTAAGGAAGATTCTAAACTTTTTCTATTTTGTGAAAGGGGCACTTAGACATTTGTGAGTCTTCGAATTTAATCCGTGGGTTGGTATTAGTTACCCTCTTGAGCATTCATGTTTCTTAAAAAAAGGGGGGGGGGGACTCTTTTTCAAAATAAGTCAGTAAGCAAGTGTGTTCGTAAATACATAACAATCATTGATGAAGTTCTGCCATGAGACACTGATTAAATATGTTCAATTCTGTAAAAATAAAGTCCAACAAAAAGATGGCCCTGCCTAATCCTACACGGATGGCAGATAAAGTCAGATTTCTGTACTTGGTATGTGTTGAGTGGGGGAGTCAAAGTATATTGACTTTACGGTTCTTAGTATGTGTTGAGTGGGGGAGTCAAAGATATTCATATGAATATTCATATTCAAGTTATATTGAAGAGAACAATCTAAATGATCGAATTTTAAATTTAATAGAAATTTAAATAGAAAAGAGTGGCATTTTGGAAAATGATAAGATTGTAAGGGAAAGAAGGATTTACAATCAATTTGTTCTTCCTGACAAATATCAATATTAAAAAGCAAATAACTAACACTAACTTCATTTTTAGGAAAAATTTATTGTGGCATATGTGAGGGAGCTTTAAAATGTGTGTGGGAAAATTCCATTATCGTTAAATTCCACTTCTCATAACTTGTATATTTCCTATCCTTTTGTGTATATACATAAGAATATATACATGTGTATCATAAGTTTTTGCCATTTTTGGTCTGTATGCATTTCCCTATTGTAGTAATTTGATATAAGTGAGACCATGTGTGATTTGTCCTTGTGCGTCTGAATTCTTTTACTCAGCATAATGTTTTCGAGGTTCATCTCATCAGCTATCTCTTAATAGCTGACTAAACACATCGCCGTATGTACAAGTGTACCATGTGTTGATGATCCATTCATTTGTTGATAGCATTTGATTTGGTCCCGCCTCTGTCTGTAGTGAGTACTACTGTAATTAGCATCGATGTACAAGGGCATGCGCCAGTCAGTTTTCAAGTCCCAGGGATGGACTTGCTGGGTAATTCTGTTTGACTCTGCATCCTTTTGAGGAACAACCAAACTTGTTTCCCACGGAGACGACCACTTTATCTTCCCACCAGCACTTGCTATTTTCCCTTACAAACAAAAAGGCAACCGCTAGTGAGCATGAGGTGGTATTCTATTTGCATTTCCCCATCTCTTATAATGACCATCTTTAATGCTCTTATTGGCTATTTATATATCTTGGATAGTTGTCTATTCAGGTGTCTGCTTTTTATTGGCTTGTCTATTGTTCAAGTGTAAGATTTCTTATTGGGGTATCAAGCCCTGAATATATCTCCAAACATTTCATTCATGTTATAATTGTCTTTTAACTTTCTTGATCATTTCCTAAGCTGCGCAAAAATGTTTTATTTTGATAAGGTCCATTTTAGCTATTTTTTTTCGTTTACTGCTCATGCATTCAGTATTCTGTGTGAAAATCCCTTGCCAAATGCAAGGTTCTGAAGCTATACCCCTATGTTTTCTTCTAAGATGTTTATGACGTTAGCTCTACTACTTAGGTCATTGATGCATTTTAAGTTACTTCCCATATCAGATGTGAGGCAGAACTTAGAGGAGGCTTAGAGAAATGGGAAAACACATTTGTCTGCATGTGATGATTTTTGCCCCAGCGACATTTGTTGAGATTTGTTCTTTCCTGTCAAGGGAACTTAGAACTCTTGTTTAAAATCAGTGGCTTATAAAAGTATGGGATTATTTCTAGACTCTCAATTCCATTCCAATTGCCTAGGTCTAGTCTTATACCAGTGCTCTACTTTTTGGATTAATGTAGCTTTATAGTACATTTTGAGATTGCAAAGTGTGAATCCATCTACGTTCTTTTTCAAGACTGTTTTGAGAGCAATGCCTTCAAGATTAAGTCTTGCGGTCCATGAACGTGGTATGTCTTTCCATTTATAGGGCTCCTTTAGTTTATCTGGGCAACATCCCCAACTTTCCAGCGTGCACATTTTCACACCCAGCGTTAACTTTGCCCAGTTCTTTTATTCTTTTCAATGCTATTGTAAACGGAATTACTTTCTTAGCGTTGTATCAGATCAATTGTGATTGGCATGGAGACACACAAATGATTTCTGCTGTGTTTACCTTGCACCCTGAAAATTTGCAGAATTTATTGTTCACCTCTCGCAGCTTTATTGTGGACATTTTAGGGTTTTCTTTATGTAGAGTCATGCTACCAGTAAATAGAGATAGTTTTACTCCTTTCTTTCCAACATGGATGCTTTTTATTTCTTCCTCTTGCACCATTGCTCTGGCTACAGCTTCTAGAAGTACAGTGTTCAGGAGCAGTGCTGAAAGTAGGGATCCTTTTCTTACTTCTGATTTTCAGGGAAAAGCTTTCAGTCTTCCCCCATTGAGTATGATGTTAGTTCCAGGGGATTTTTCATAAATATCTCAAAGAATTTCCCCTTTTCACATAGTGAGTTGATTTTTAAATTTTTTGGTCATGAAAAGGTATTGTATCCTGTTAAATGTCTTTTCCACATTAGTTCAGATTAGCTTTAATTTATTAATTTAGTGTTTCATTTTGCTTTTGTCTATTAATGTGATGTATTGCTGGGATTGATCTTCGTAGTGCTCAACTACTTTTCCATTTTTGGGATAAATCTTGCTTGGCTCTGGTGAGTAATTTTTTTTTTTTTTGTAATATGGCATTGGATTCAGTTTGCTAGTAACTCACTGAAGATTCTTGATTGTTTTAGTAAAATACTTTCTCCCGCTAGAAAGAACACCAGACTGGTGGTTTAATCATTCTTCAAGCATGAATACTTTGTTAATTCTACAACTAAGGAGCATAAAGACCAGTCAGTGTAAGCAAACATCAAAGTTGAGGTTCTTTCATGTGGAGATCACTAAATTATATTTCTGACATAATTGGTGAAAGGATAATATAGCTAAGGAATACCAGTTATGAACCCATAACAGCCGTGTATCATAACCTAAAGCTTATGATTAATCCAACTCAGCACAACTGAGGACCAGTGCTGTAGAGGTCACGGTCATTTCACATAGTGTCATTGAAGTTTAGCTTCCTCGTTAGTGGTTTTGTCCCAGTTGCTTAATCCATTCCCTCACTTACACAGAACCTAGTCGTTCACGGTTAAGCGGAAGTACTTTGGATGTTGGAGAATGGCAGTTTTCCCCGTTGTGAGCTGAGAGGGTAGGTACCTGGCTGTGATTTAATATGTAGGCAGATTAATGAAAGAACAAGCATGGAACAATCATGAGTGAGGGATGGGTAGAAAGCAAGGATTTTGATTAGGACAGGTACTCAAAAACGGAATTTCATTGTGATGCGTTATTTGCACTCTGCCAAAGAGGGCATCGAGCGGATCTTGGTATAGTTAAGGGCATGCTTCTTGTTCTTGTTGTCATTAAAGGCCATCGCCAGCAACACTGTTCAAAAATAATAAGCGAATCCGTTAGAGAAGGCATAATGGAATAAAGAAGTTGGAAGCTGAGCATGGATCAATGATGATCATTGGTAGGGTGTGAATCCCCCTCATTGATGAAGCCCGTGGTGTAACTCTGAGGCCAATTACAAAAGAAGAAGCAGTCTGCATTCATCATGGAAACGAACTGATAGTTGAAGTTTTAAAAATTCAATAAGCTTGTTCCTGGGCTTTTGTAGTTCACAGATATGGATTGTCTTATATTAAGCGAATCAATGCATGAATAAATATATATATATATATATATATATATAGCAATGAAGACAGAGACCCACTCATGGACCTTATTAATAGAGTGTGCAAATAAAACAAGTATTAGTTTTAATATAATAATGAATTAAAATGAATATGTCACATTTATATCTAATAATTACAAGTGCTTATATTTTATAATATATATACATATATGTATATATATATATATTTATACTTGTAGTTAAGAAGCAGTCTTGTTTTTAGTCTGCTGTAGTTTTTTTTTTTAATTAAGGAAAGGGAAAGTGTTTACATCAGTCAATAATTCATTAACTAGCTGTAGAGGACCAAATATGGACTAAAGTGAATATTGGATATCTTACAGAGGGGCATGATTGATTAATCTAATGCTACTCACTCTTCCTGTTTAAAAATAAAACTAAGAGAAGGGCTAAGGTACTTTCCAGTGGTTAAGGCACAGTTGGACAAATGCTAATATTGATCCACATTCTTTTCCAGTTTTACTGGTTTATACTTATTGATGTGTTATGATAAATGAATGAATGATAAATTAATACCCCCATCAGTGGACCAATGAAAAGCATATTATGTAGAACGAAGCGAGCCCAACCCTGATTGGTGCACAAGATTGAGGCACTTGGCTGCTAAATGAAAGGTTGGAGGTTCAAGTCCACCCAAGGTACCTTGGAAGAAAGGCCTGGTGACCTACTTCCCCCAAATGAAATACTGAACACCTTGTAGAGCACAGTTCTATGCAGTTGCCATGAGTTGGATTGTGTATTTGTTTGATTTTGGTTTATAGAATGAGGGAAGTGGTCCATCCTATTCTATGCTGCTGCTGGAAAGGGATATACATTTGTATATATAAACCATTGATAGAATAATTATGTAACTCAGCAAGAGACGAGTATGGAGCCATGACTACAAGGGACACATGAGAAACCCAATCTTTTTCATGACAATTTTCTTAACCCAATTAATATAAACAGGAACCAGTTTGCTGGGGTTTTTTGGTAATGACATTAGGACAAATGGAAATATGATTTAGGTTACCTGTCCAGTGTCTGTGGGCTCACAGAGATGTCTGTGTGCTTTCACACAACGATCGCCCATGCTTTACTCTTTGTTAGTCCCTATACCCACTTGCACACTAGTTACCTCTGTGCACTGTATACGTTACGGACTTGTGTGCATTGCAAGAGGAGTGCTGAAGGTCTGTAGAGACATGGAATGAAAAGATAATGGGCTTTTCCCATGAACTTCTAAAGTGCCATTTTATTTATACGGATGCACTGTTTGTGGAAAAATATGGTACAAGTTGACAAATGTAGACATTATTGTTCAAATTCACTTTTCAAGATGCGAGCAAAGGAGCCACCAATGGAAAGCATGTCATTGCATATGAGGAGAATCGTATTTTGCATGACTTTTCTGCATAAGAAAAGACAAGTACTAGGTCCTCCTAGTTAGTTGTACGTGTAAATATCTGTGGGTAGTGGTTTTCCAATTCTGTTTTGCTAGTCAACGATTTTGAATTTATGTGAGAAAAATAAGAGTGGTCTTATTTTCCCATGAATTATTAAGACAGTCAGTTTGCAAGTGAATCAGTCACTCGATTAAGTCGGGTCAAGCTTGGACCATTGGGGAGATTGAGTTGCATCCTTCTGTGTCCCAATTCTGCAGGAGGAAAACCCGTGGAAACGACTAGCTTGACTTCTTGGCTCTTCCTTATGGGAGTGGTGTGCACAGATGGGCGTTTCTGCTCATAATCGTTCTTCTTGCGCTCACTGCTGGGTTCTGTGAGCTTTATTGGATTATTTAAAATCAAAGGGACATGAGTCAATAAAGAGAAAGTGTATGAATTATAAGACAACATCAAATGTAGAGTAAATACAAGCTCTACTCTTGCCACATGTGATTATTATGTTATGGCTTATGGTGAATTGATTATTTCACAACTGTGCTTTATTTTAAAAAGCTAAATGTAGACTGAGGAGACCTGGTAGCATATTGGCTACATATTGGGCAGCTAACCATGAGGTCAGCAGTTCAAACCCACCAGCTAGCTCTGCGGGAGAAAGACAGGGCTTTCTACTCCAGTTACTACAGTCTCAGAAGCTCACAGGGGTCTGTTCTATCCTATTTGCCTATAGGCAGTGAGGTTTTTGTTTTGTTTTTTTTTTTTAAAGTGTAGGCTGTTTGGTGCTCTTTAAAATCTGCTTTTTCCAGTGGGTGAAGGGAGACGTCGCACAGGGCAAGATATGACAAAATAATAATTTATAAATTATCAAGGGTTCATGAGGGAGGTGAACAAATGAGGAGCTGATGCCAGGGGCTTAAGTGGAGAGGAAATGTTTTGAGAATGATGAGGGCAATGAATGTACAAATGTGCCTTACACAATTGAGGGGAAAAAATGAGGAGCTGATGCCAGGGGCTTAAGTGGAGAGGAAATGTTTTGAGAATGATGAGGGCAATGAATGTACAAATGTGCCTTACACAATTGATGTAGGGACGAATTGTGATAAGAGTTGTAGGAGCCCCGAATAAAACGATAAAAAGAAAAAATCTGCTTTTCACTTGGCAGAGTGGATACACCATCATGGGTTTCATTGGCATCTGTTGGCGAAGACCCTGCCGCACCCCCAGCCCCTGCTCCCTCTAGGGGTAAGGAGAAAAAGAGGCATGTAAGTAAAACTCTAAGTTCACCTTATTCCTGGTGGGGTTGGGCTTGTGGATGAGTCTAGGGAATTGCTCCCAATAATCAAATAGCTCCCCTTGCAATCAAGTCAGAGCTGGTCACGGGGCGACCAGTGCCGGACGTGCTTCTTGCAGCATAGCGGGTCTCTGCAGGACGGAGGCTCTTTAGTCCCTCTCGCGCTGGCGAGCCGTCCATCTGAGCTGTGCGCCACGTGGATTGAAACAACCTCTCTCCACCGTATTGTTGTAGACTGTCAACCCATTCAGGGGTCAACTCAACGACTTTGAATTCAGACCAGGGGAGGCCATGTTTTCACCTTCGTTGTGGTGGGAGACGAACATCTCCCACTTGCTCGTGCTACCACCTGTCACACATTGACACGCCCCTTGGCCCATCCTTGCACTCACTGTGCTGCGAGGACACTCACAGCTTCATGTGAGCCCCGGAGGACTTTGCCCAACGAGGGGCACGTCTGTGGGAAGGGATCTCTCACAGGTATATTCAGATCTTCAGGGATCTGACAAAGAATGCCCCCCCCCTTTCTTCCAAGTTCATAGACATTGGGTCATTTTCGTATTACTGAACCCAGGAAGAAGTCAAGAACTGCATGATTGAATAAAGGGCATAGCGTACGGAACATGGATCGATGATGAGTACGTGTGGGGCATCTGAATAGGACATTTTGATTAAACCCTAACTGTAACTCTGAGGTCCATTGTTAATAGGGACCGAGGGCTGACACCTGTGGGAAAAGTTATGAGCTATTCCAATATCATGCTTGTAGGGTTGTTATTGCTCATGAATATGGGTTGTATTATCATATCTCAATGGATGCATGGATTAATAAGTTATAGATAAATACATAGAAGGACCCACCTCACTTACTTATGAGAGAAGCAAATGAATCAGATTAGTCTTAATGCATCCCTGGAGTTGTGAGTTCAAATAAAGGAAATAAGACAGTGTCACTCTCCCTTCGGGTGGTAATGACGTTTCAGATATATGGGAGCTTCAACGTTGGGTTTCCAGGTCATGGATTGAGGGTCATCACGTTTAGAAACTCAAATCAGGCACTTACCCCTGAGGTTTAATGTATCCAGTAGTAACTGTCAATATAATAATGATATTGAAAGTGACTTAGTATAATAAATATCATAAGTAAGTTAGTAGAATTAGAATAGCACATGGACTTGTTATAGTTAATGATAAAAGTAATAGGGATGAGATGGCATTTAGACAAAATGAGCGACACATAACCCCAATTGTGTGGAGGGCACAGGCCCGGCAGTGGTCCCTTCGAACCTACGGAGGGTTGCGATGACTCCTTTCGGACCTGCAGGCACCTAGTCCCACGATAGCTATTGAAAACTGTAGGAAAGGCCTGTTTCTGGACGATCCTTGGCAATGGGCACCCAGTCCACCTCAATCCCAGGTGTTCCCTGACCTGTTCCTAACAAGCCTGGTGTGGAGGCATCTTGTGGGTTGCTAGCATCACTCAGGGGGCTTGCCCAGTGTCCGCAAAATCAAACCCACTGCCACCGAGTTGGCTTCGATTCATAGCAACCCTATAGGACAGAGTAGAACCGCCCCCGTGTGTCTCAACGATTTTAAATCTCGACATGAGTAGAAAGCCTCATCTTTCTCCTGTGGAGTGGCTAGTGGTTTCAAACCTCTGTCCTTGCATTTCCTTAAGTCACATCAGCCACATTTCAAGTCGCGTGTAGCCAGCGGCCACCCGATTGGACAGTGGTGATGGAGAAATTTGCAAATTTACCCCTGAATTCCATCATCACAGGAAGTGCAGATCTAGAGAACTGAAGAGTAATAGCATTATTTTGGGCCCCTGGGAGCACTGCCATGTTGTGTTTCCTTGATTTGAAAGATGAAGCATCGATAATGAAATGATGCTAAGGGTGATAAGAAGCCTGTGTGGCACAGCAACTATGAGGCTTGTTGGGACCTGAAAGGTTGGAGGTTCAAGCCCTCCCAGCAGAAAAGGGCCTGGTGATCTACTTCAGTCAAGATTCCAGCCTAGGAAAGCCGATGGGAACGTGCGACTTGGCCAGATGGGGTGGCTATGACTCAGAGTGGTCTCACACGGTCAGTGAGTGAAGGAATGCACACACTGAAGTGCAGTGTGGCCTTGCGGTTGAATGGTCTCAGAAAGGCAACAT